GGGGTGCACAGATATGCCTCATTGTCTAAAAAGCAATCTACTGAACCACGGATGCAGAAATAACCATAAACTTTCTGAGACAATGATGCAAAAAAACCCATCTGCTGCACAGAAGACACCAGGATGCATCCCGCCTATGGGTTCAATCGACAAAGCACAACCTGGTGCCTGAAATATAAATCAAAGAACCTTACATCCCTGGGACTTATTGACATTTGCTACCTGCAAATTTCTAATATGTGCAAGATGGGCCTGTTTTTATTTACAGCGCGAACCCCAGACTGAATGTAAAACAAGATGCTTAATAAATCCAGAGGCTCATAAAACACCAGCATAACTCAGACAGTAACACGGACACTCGCTCCTTAATTAAGTGGGTGATGTTCTGTTTAAAACAAAAAGACAACCCTTGGCTATAGCGAAGATGAAGCACTCAGTGTTGCGAGGGTGACGCCACCCATTTTCAGGGCCAAGGCTTTAAATCATGAAAAATAAACCATCTAATAGTCTGTTTTCAATAGTAAGTAGACAGTCAGGACACAGACTGATTTGGATGAACACATTTTCGGTTATAACAAGTAATATTACAGAGGATTAGTATCTTGATGGTCTGATCAATATGAGGCATGGCTGCTATTACAGATGAAGAGAAAATTGCCCCTCTGGTAATAAAGTGTGCGTGTCTTCGTTCTCCTTCATTTGCTGAGTCCATTACTGTAATGGTTCCAGCATTAACAGCTGGGGCAACTTAAGCAGCAGGGGTCTGATGAATTTAAAAGCTGGCCAGTCTGGCCACTCAGCCTTTCCTGCCTCCCAGGCTGCAGAGGCAACCCCTCTGCCTGGCTGGTTCCAAGACAAGGATCATGTTTTATGAGAACAATGACTGCGATTTCCCAATTATTGTCTCATTAATAGTGTTACCGGCCAATGCTGTGACTAACACGAAAATCGCTCGCAGCCTCTTGGCTGCTGATTCGGCGGAAAATGGCACACTATTTAGCTAAACAGCGAGATCGACATGACCACAGGCCACAGGCCACGTATGTTTGGATTTGTTTGCTGGGTGCTTTTCTCCAGAAAAAAAAAAAAGGCAGAACGTTCGTGCTGACAGAAAAAATAAATAAATTCATCAGCAAAATTTTCCATCTCTGTTTTCAAAATACGGCAAACTAGAAAAGAACGAGATGACGGATGCAGTATATAAAAACCGAAAATCCATAGGAGTACAGCCTTACACCTTAATCACGCCCCATCCACCTGAGTGAGTTAAAGTGCCACATTAGCCCACTACTATGATTACTATTACCATTATTATTGCTATTATTATTGATATGCTGGCCCTTGATGCTCAGCCTTGGATGGTCCAGCCACTAAACACAGGTGCCGAAGGGCAGACTTAGGGCTAATGCAGAAACCGGAGCTCTGAGTCCTCCGACCACAAACAGTTATGAAAACACTCATGCACTTGGACACACCCCCTCCTCAGACCAGACACAACACAAGTGGGTCCTTCACAGTAAGTTTTCTCCTCAGTTTCTACCAGCTGTAAAGGTCTCAGCTGCCACTTACCCACGTGGCAGTTCTTGACCTAAAGGAAGGCAACGCTGCTTTGCAGGCAGGTCATTCGCAAAACTAGAGCAAATAAGTGATGGGCGTGGCCACCTGACAAAGGCTTGCACCAGAAACAAAGATGCAAGCCGCCAGCACCTGCACATGGTTCACCTCTCATTCATGCCCCCGGTGCTGGTCTTGTCCAGAAACATTGTGTCAAGGACAAATGTTCAGAGTCAAGTTCCTGCCAATACAAATCTTAACCTGCACAACGCGCCCTGACCCAACCCAGCAGTCCCCAAGGCTCCCCCCAGCTTACACTGGGAAATCACCTGGTGAGAAAACATTGTAAAACAATACAAAGTCAGTCATGTAAGAGAACGTTAAAGTGAATGGCACTGAACAGAACTCTAAATGCTCCTCTAAGCAGTGCCTTAGTGTAAGGTTCCAAAAGTACCATGCCCACTATGAAGTTCTTCTCTTCTAGAAGTTACAAAGTCACCCTTTAAATATAAAAGCTACCGTAATAAACAAACAACAACAAAACAAACTAAGCCTGAGGAATACATTAGCATTTTCAATTTGAAAGAGAACAGTGGAAAACAATTCTTGGCAGTGGCCAAAGCGTGTGCTGAAGAGTCCTGTTTTTCAACATGAATACCTAGGTCTAAGGTATGTTTAGCAACTTACAATCATAGAGTATTTAACCATTTTCCAGCATCTCTTTCAGGTTTCTGTTCCATCTCTCACTGGCAGAAAACCTAATGACAAATAACAGGTGATGCTTTGGGCCATTCATTCATTTGATAACTATTTATGGAATATTCACTCTGTGCCTGGCACACTGTTAATTTAAGTGCTCGGGACAGAACGGTGAACAACCAAACCAAAACGACACGGGCTGTCCTCTCTTGAAGCGTGCAGTCCACTAAGCTCACCCACAGTAAATCCAGGCGGCAGCCGGGGAGCCGGTGTGGTCTCCATGAACAGTCTGCCTGTCACAGGTAACAGATGCTGCGGACTCTCGACCATATTCAATCTTTCTCCAAAAGATAAATGTCTCCAAAAGATAAATGTCATGTGCAAGACACTCAGCTAGGTCCACCGGGGAGATGGGGGGAGGATTAACGAGACAGCAAGGCTGACTTCGACGAAGCCAGTGGTTGTTTCAAGTGTCCGAGTGTTACAGCTTGTTTTAAAAAGTGTTTAAGACATTTTCCAAATGGCAAATTTCATTTGCAAAACCGACAAGAGGATTATTAAGAAACAGACCAAGAAATAATAAAGTAACAAGAATTCCCTATTACTCATTAGTTTAATGTTTTTAACATTGTTTAAAATTCTATTTATTGATTTTAGAGAGAGAGAGAGAGATTTGTTGTTCCACTTATTTATGCATTTATCGGTTGCTTCTTGTATATGCCCTGACCAGGGAATTGAACCTACAGTAGAGGGACAATGCTATAACCAACTGAGCTTAATTAATTTTCTATTTTTTATATATTATATATATTTATTTTTAGAGAGAAGGGCAGGGAAGGGGAAAGAGAGGGAAGAAAACATGTACAAGAGAAACATCGTTTGGTTGCCTCTCACAACCTGCGACTAGGTACCTGGTTGGCAACCCAGTCACGTGCCCTGACCAGGAATCGAACCTGCGGCGTTCCAGTTCACAGGCCAGCACTCAACCCACTGAGCCACACCAGCCCCAGCAAGCTTAATATCATTTTTAATGAAGATATTTAAAGTGACTTGGAAACTACCAACAAATAAACCCTTCTCCCTAGAGAAGAAAATTCAAACCACTGAACGGTGATTCATGCCTGGCCTGTGCCCTGAAAGATCAAGGAAAAGATGAACTTGGAGGGGGAAGGAAGAGTAGAATCTGTGAGGGAAAGCTTCCATTTTTTTAAGTCCCCTGGTTTTGGGCTCACTACCCCAAATGCCTTAGACTTAGTTCCCCAAATTACCACCAGAAGTACATCTGGCCACTCCCACGGAACTCCCCTAAAGGGGCCCCCTCTCAGCCTGGCGAGGGTACTGGGCAGGGCAGTCAGCAGTGGCAGCTGGTCAGCGCTTCCCACCTGCCCTGCACCAGACAGAGCATCTCGTCTGCAGGGGACTCCCACTTGGTGCTGATTGAAAGGGCTCCCTGGGCCTGCCCGGGGTTGCTGGACAGACACTTTCGGTTTGAACGAACACTTGGTTTCGGGTAGGTTGGCAGGACTGCCTCTGGGACTCTGGATTCAGAGCCCAACCTAGGTTGAGCTCTGGAGGGTGGAGAAGCACCTGCAAGGCAATCCGAGACATCTTCAGGGGACATCTCCGGGCTGGCCGCCTGATGTCGGGAAACCCTGGGTCCCTGATGGTATTTTCACTGGGCCAGAGGTTATGGAATCATAGTGTCCAAACCCCTTTTGTTTCTGCCCTGTGGTTGCTGGATTTCGCTGTGTGCACATTTGCGTTTACCTTGTATGTAAACATGCCAGCCACAGAAACTCAAATTTGACCCCCAAATGCAACCCCTGGAGGTGCATTCTCCAGGAGCAGACCAAGGACCCCAGAGACTTCCCTGTTTTCTGACTTTCTATAGGACTTAATGGGTTTGGGGCTTTCCCCTTTGGGCCGTCGTAGGGGAATGGGCTTTGAGAGCTGTTCTCGGTAACTTCAGTCACACTTGAAGTTTGTTTTGCCTTGGCAGGAGAGTCCCTTCTTTTGGCATCTCTGGCCCACACTGGAAGAAGAGCTGTCTGGGGCCAACATGAAATACATCGTGACACACAATCACAAGGAAATCTCATAGTGTTTTAAGTAAATTTATGATTTTGTGTTTGGCCACATTCATAGCCATCTGGGGCCGCATACCCCAGATCTAGAGCCAGCTACTAACTGTGACTAATGAGTAGAAACTAATGTTGTTTTGTTTTTCTGTACCTGTGTCATGGCTAAAGGACTTTTAAAATGAAGTTTTCATGTCTGTCTATATGTGTGTATGTTTGTCTACTTCCAGAAATATTAAAATTGGTTTCTGGAGGTTATAAAATTATTCACAAATTTGAGTTTTGGTTGTCACTAAAATTAAGGTTTCTATGGGTTAAAAATTCAGAATAAAAAAATAGAAAAGGAGACTGCCTTTTATGTATTAAGCTGGCTAAAATTATGTTGTTATTACAGGGCTTTTTTAAATTAAGTTTCAGTATCAACAGTGTATTTACATAAAGCCAACATATAATGTTCTGTCTTCTGTATTAATGGTATGGTTTTAGTGAGAAATTCTACCTGGCTGGTGTGGCTCAGTGGACTGAGCTCGGGTCTGTGAAGCAAAGGGTCACTGGTTCGATTCCCAGTCAGGGCACATGCCTGGGTTGCAGGCCAGGTCCCCAGTAGGGGGCACACAAGAGACAACCACAGATTGATGTTTCTTTTCCTCTTTCTCCCACCCTTCCCCTCTCTCTAAAAATAAATAAATTAATTTTTTAAAAAAAGAAATTCTAAAAGAAGACAAAGGTATACTCCTTACCATCAGATCTTTAATTACTCAAGTCCATTGAATCACCTTAATATTAGAAACACTAAAATTTCATCTTAACAACTCTTTGACTTTTCTGCATTTGCTGGCAAAAATCTTTGATTGTCACTTTGACTAAATGAGTAACTTTAAAGTATTGTTATCTATGATTTTACCTGAAACATGTTTTAAAACTTTTGCTACATTTCACAAACTCCCCAAGATTCAAACTTTAAAGAGCGTCACTTTCTTGACCTGGGACATTTTTAAGAACTTCGGAGTTTTTCCAGAAGGACCCCTGACATACCTCCACGACTCATTTTCCTCTTGATAAAGGGAAACATTAAAGTAAGTAGGCCTGTTTGATACACTAAAATCGCACAGGAGACACTGTCAAACACAATGTTTGATTACAACGTTTGATTACATTTAGCATAGGTCGTATATTTTTGGTAGTGGAGGGTATGGGAAGTAGACATACACTCTCACTGAATGTCTTTAGATAAGGAAGAATACAAAGACATTGGTTTTATTGGTAAAGAAAGAAATAGGAAAATAATTTTTCCTAGAATAAAATGACAGTTTCAAACTGAGGACAGGAAACATGGGACAAAAACCAGAAGATCTACGTAAGTTACAGATGGGCTGTGCATGCTGGGAAAGGTGCGCGTACATTACAGAAGGTTCACGGAGGAGGGATCTTAAGGTGTATGCATACGAACTCCAACCAAGGCCGTTTTAAGTCTGTTGTCATTTACAGACAATGGCTGTTTTACTCCGGTGCTTTTATAAGACAAAAATGTGTGTACAAAGATGTTTCATCTTCAGAGAGACTCATGGAGAAAACTCTAAAATACAAAACTTCAGGTACTCTTAACCAATCCCCGTGTGACGAAACTTAAAGGTATTCCCTCCTAGATGCTATTTATTGACTTGGCGATGTCAGTGCCAATAAAGGTACCAGATTTAGCACAAGCCAAATGGTTAAACACAGTCCCCACTAACACCCTGTGGTTATTTAATATCTTCAGCTACTTGCCCCCAGGTATTGCCTCTTGATTCAGATCTCTTCTTCAAACTGAACTCAACATTTTTGCTATTATAAATCTTTGTTTATTTTGCACAGCTCTATGGTATAAAAACACCCCTCTGATACAGGTTACTCAGTTTGCAAACAATCGCAAAGGCCTATAAAATTTCCATACAAGAAATTACAGGCGTTTCAGAAGAGACGTTTCCTTTGGCGGGTATTACCTCCTCCACTGCAATGTTAGACAGGAGAATTGCTCTTTGAAAACATTGTGTCTAAGTAAGGTGGGTTTGCTCCATTGTTGCTACCTCTTGTACTTGGATAAAACACCTCTGATAAAACAAAGTTAGAAGTAAATATAATCCAGGCCTTGCCCTTAAAGAAACTTGACTGTGGAACCTTACTGCGCTCTGGTATTTTTGCTCCAATGTGACCTAAGGTTCTTAGGGAAAGAGCAACTTTCCCTCCCACAGGGGACATGTTATACTGGGAATGAGCCTCTCTGCCCTCAGGGACCGACAATGGCATGAAATACTCACAATAAACCAACTGATAATACAGGAACAATGACGCTTTTAATAACTGATCAGTGCCATTCTCTGATAATTGATCAGGAATGCTTTTCTAAGAAAGAGCCTGATCAACGGAGGAAAAATACAAATAATAATATAAATGGAGCCACTTTTAAAATACAGCCAGAACTAACTTACCAGAGTAACTAACTTACACACAATGTGAAAACGAGGAACAGGCCCTGGCCTGGTAGCTCAGTTAGTTAGATCATCATCCCCAATATACCAAGGTTGTGGGTTTGATCCCCAGTCAGGGCACATATAAGAATTAACCAGTGAACGCATAGATAAGTGGAAAAACAAATCAATGTTTCCTTTTCTCTTTTCCTCTCTCTCTAAAATCAATTTAAAAAAAAAAGAAATAGGACATAATTGCTGGGGTGGTTTTAATTGTGAAGATGATTTGGGGGTTGGTGGGAGGAGCTCAGTAAAACTGACCCTCCCCAACATAACTTGGCTTCTCCTGTTCCTGGGATCCTTTCCACCTATTCTACACTTGATCTTCGCCAAAAGGCCGAGAAGTGATCCTTTACACCCATAATCTTATTGAATGAGCCAATTAGGAAAGGTAACTGGTAACTTAAATAAAAACGCTAATCTGATTTTGCCCACACCATAAGATACTAAACTTCACCCATAAAACCCAAAGAATTGGGTATATTTAAAAATCTGGAACTCAGGATCTCCACAAGATCAACTGAACCCAATATGGACAGGTCCTCATTTGGTACTATTAACAACTCATTCTTTTCTTAAACCACAAAATGCAGCTTACTGGATACATCACTCCTGAGTCAAGCCTGCTTTCCTACCCAGTGAGAATAAAGAACCAGATCCACAGTACTCCTGTGGGTCCCTGTCCCATCTCAAGCCACTACAAGGTAAGTTATGTCCCATAAACCTTCTCTTACTCCTAAGTTTTTCTTAGGAGTCTTCTTCTTACAGTTTTTTTTCTACATTCTGTCTCTTTATGTACTCCTGTTCTCAGGAACCCCAGAAGCTATGGGACCCCAAGACTCATTACTCAAGCAGCCAGAGAATTTCATTCCTCTAACTCAAAGACTTCATCCATCCATCTTCAGCAGGAAGCAATTACAGAAATATGACCCTCAAGCCCATTCCCTCAAGAATGAGAAATAAAAAAATCTCAGAGGGGAATTCTTATATACAACAAGGGTCTCAAGGTCTGAGCAGTTCTTACTAAATGCTATTCTTGCTAGATGTTAAAATACAGCATCATATTTTATAGATGCAGCAATAATAGAAGAGCTAGATAGGAACCCAGTCTAATGTAAAGGAAAAATCGACATATAATTAACCAAATCTGGATACAAGCAATGGCTAAGCCTCCCTTCCTGGAGACAAAGCTCTGGATGTGAATCCCATCTCCCTTACTTGCTGCAAGTAAATAAAACTACCCGATGGCGGCCACTTACTCTTGAATAGAACACCCCTAGGTGGGGAACCCCTGAGTTCCGTAACAGAAAGAAGGACTTTGAAGATGGCCAAAGTGGCTGATGGGCAGAGAGCAAGGAGAGTGTCATGTCCAGTGAGGATGTAGAAGCAATGAGTGTTCAGACCATGTAGGCCATGTTGTTTTGTCCTTATCCTGAGAGCAACAGAAAGTCATGGAAGATTTTTAAGCAGGTGGTTGATAGAGGAGAAAGGGAGGAAATGAACATAATTACACTGGCATTTTTAAAAGATCATACTCCACGGTGTGAAAAAGTGACTGTTTGGGAGCAGCGGAAGTACGGGACAATGGAGTGTTAGGGTATAAAGTGTAGACCAGTAAGAAGACTATTGTAACAATCCATTAGAGATGACAGCTTGGTCCAAGGTGGAGATGGAAAAAGCGGGGGACAGGTTACTGATATATTTAGACAAATAAATAGGACTTGATCTGGGGAATGAGAAAAAGGAAAACACTCAATTCTTCTGGGCCTCAAGTCTTCATCTGTGAAACAGGACTGTTGATATTCCATCTGTATAAATATCTATCTTGCAATCTGCTGTGGTAAGAATATGAAATAATATAAATATTATGAACTTAATGCAAGCCTGACACATAATACATGCTATTTGAAAAGTTGCTATTGCTATTATTATTTTCATCCCATGGAATGGCAACAACTACTAGAGGCGGAACCCCAAAAGTAGATAACAGAATTATAGTTAAATTTTTGTATCTTGCTGTGCTGAAGACATAGAACATTACCAACGAGCCACTGAGACAACTGTTCCAAATAAACACATCTGATCTCAGTCCTCAGGAATCACTACCAAAGAGAAAGCACAGCTGGTACAATCAGTCATCTGAGAGTCTGGTAAACTGAGGCACAAGGGTAGCTACAGATTTACCCAAGGTAGTAGGTGCAGAACAAGTGCGTGGATGTCTTCCATGTGTGAGGTGATCCAACAGGACTAGGCCTGCATCCTGAGCGGTAAGAATTTATAATCCCCAGTATCTCTGGCTCCCTTGCTGAGAAGGCCCTCTCATGCCTAGGCTTTAGGTCTCGCGTCTACTCGCCATCCAGCCAAGTCCTTCAGGTTCCCTGCCCCTAGCTACGAGTGCACAAAAGATCCCAGACTCCGGAGGCCCTGCATACCTTGGCTTCACGTTCTCGTTCCTCGGGGGTCGGAGTCCGCTTCATGCTGCCGCTGCAACCTTCTTCAACAGTGCCAGTCCTGTAGAGCCTCTCGCTCTGGACCCCACCTCCTGTGTGTAGTTCTCTCGGCATCCTGCTCCCACCCACCGCTATTCTACCGCAGAGCTTCGAGAACTACCACTCCCAGAATGCACAGCGGAGACGCCCAGAGCACCTCGGGATTTAGAGAAGTGGAAAAGTGCTTGTATTCAAGGCAGCCAGCTGGCGGGCTTGGGCCCGAGGAAAACTACACTTCCCAGGAAGCAATGGGGCCTGCCATGTTTTTCCCGTGCTTCTCTCTGCCAGCGGCGCGACGTGCTGTGGGCGCTATAGCAACGGGTTAGCTACCCGCCGAGAGAGAGTGGCGGTGAGTACCCACGGGGGAAGGAGAGGGCGATAGAGGTGGTCGACTCTACGTGCAGCACCACCTGGGGTCGTGGGGTCTGCTCTACGGTCTCTAGAAGGCTCTGGAGTTCTCGCGTGAGAAGTATGCCAGCACGAGACACCCCCACATCCTCAGGCCTGAACCGCAGCCCCCGCCAATTACCCCCCCGCCCCGCTTAGCACCCTTTTGGAAAATTTATGCCCGACCTAAACCCCACCTGATGAGAGTTGACGCTAATTGCAGAGCTTCTCCAAGTCCTCTTTCAAGCAGAAGGTTACAGAAACACAGTTCATTGACGTGGGTTAGGAGTTGGTTAGTACACCCTTAAGCCTCCCGAGGGGCCAATTACTTATTTCTAGTGATCTGTTTATCGTCTTATTACCCCATAGCCTATTAACTGCATAAAGGCAGGGGCATTGTTTACCATTTTGGTCACAGTGCCAGATGTTCATTTATTCATTCAATAACTATTAATGTTGCTGCCCACCTGTGCGAGGCACTGTACCGGTCCAGTGCACAGGGCCACTGCCTGTTTCAACATGCTCATTCGTCCTTTACTAGTGAAGACAACGTGGTAATCAGCTAGTAAATAAAGTCATTTCAGATGGAGATGGTTGCTAGAACAGAAATTATCAGTGATGAAACTGGAAGAGTACTCTGACATGGGATGATCAGGGAAGTGACATGTGAGCTGAGCCCCAAAGAATGAGGATCCAGCAGAGGCTCTGGGGGAGGCAAAAGGACCCTGGATTCGGGGGACCTGAAGGGCAACAGTGTGAGCAAAGAGGGACAGTGTGAGATGGCGCTGGAGAGACATTACAGCTTTACACAGGGTTTCTCAACCTCCTTAGCATTTTGGGGCCAGATGATTGTAAACATCCTATGCCCTGTAGGGTGTTTAGCATCATCTCTGAGCTCTAGGTGCCAGTAACACTCCCTCTTCCTAGTAGTGACAATCAAATATATGACAGGACAGTGACTTCTTAGATGAGTGATCCTGGGCAAGTGTCCTAAGCTGTGTCTCCGTTATTTCATTTGTAAAGTAGGAATCATCTGAGTACCAACCTCACAAGGAAGGATATGGTGAGATGTTTGCTTCATTCCCATAAGCAGAGCACCTAGAAGAGCACCTGGCACACTTAGTAAGCATTCAGTAAATGTTACCACCACCACCATCATCCTTGTTATTCTTATAAAAGCTAACATAAGTCTATCATGGAAAAGCTACCTTTTTACAAGGGCCCTGTGTTGAAACATCTTGATAATTTAGTTCCTGTGATTGACCTTTCCTATAGCACTGTGTACAGAAGACCTAGATGACCACCCGGGTATATATCTGTTAGCTATTCATGTCCCGGCAAAATGCTGTGGTTCTCAACCTTTGATGAGTTATTACAACCATTATGAACCCTCTCGCTCTCAAAGATACTGCATCTGTGCATAAGCATACAAAATTTTATAAACCATTTCTGGGGCCACAGACCCTGAAGCTCCATGAACACCATTCATTTATCACAACTATTTAAGTGAATGTCCGTTATGTGCCCAGCTCTGTGCCAGCCTCTGAGAATACAGAGGCCAGCAAAACCAATAAGCTTGCAACTTTCTTAGACTTGACATTCTAGGACCAACCTTTTGGAAATTGAGAATGTCTGCCTCAGGGTGTTTCCACTGGCAATTTGCACTTGGCTTTCAGAGTAGATTGAAATAAAAAATCTTTTTTTTTTTTTTAAGCATAACAGACATTGCATGGGCCACCCACATCCACATACATAACTAAGCTACTGTGGTGTATCTGTGAAGAATAGAAACTCTGAACATGACAGAATTCGCTGCACAGCCTGTGTGTTGAAGGAGCAAGCCCTGGGACCCAGGCGTCATGGCTACAAATACAGGACACAAGGAAAACCAACCCATTTGGTGAATTTATGAAACCTCCTTCCCAGCACTTGGAAGTGCCTGCTCATTTGTGCATCAGGCTGAAAATTAATACCAAGTAGTAGTATCATCTCAGGCAAATGCACTCAATGCTCTTCATTTACCCCGTCACGTACACTTAGTAACTGTGAAGTGGTATTTCCTTTCCCATTTTTGACTTAAGGAGCTGAAAGTCAGGGAGATTAGGTGAGTCAGCCAACTACTAAGTAATAGAACAACCATTTGAATCAAGTCCCTGACTTGAGTTTTTCCCAAGATTATCTGCTTTCCTTTGGGGACACAGAAGGGGATGGCGGGTGGATGGAGAGGAGGTATTTCTAAATTTAGGGGAGTTTGTTTTTGTTTCAGATAGAGGAATAGGAGGAAGAGAGAAGGAAGGATGATAATCTTACCTCATTTCCTAAGCAAGCCGTAGGAAGTACACTGTTGAAAGGAACACTGTCTCCATAATTCACTGTAGTAGTATTACTTTTAAAATAGCTTTCATCTTCAAGCTGCACATGTGGGCAATAAGATGTCCATTAAAGTTATAGTTCCTTATTTTATTTGGTTCATTCCATTGCGTAGTTAATGTTATAAGTTGGAAAGATTTTATTTGAATTTTCTCATCTCTGCAGATAGGCCATGTCTGGTCCAGCCGATGAGACTGCAGGAGACCTGCCTGTGAAAGATACAGGTCCCAACCTCTTCGGAGTGGGAGGGTTACACGGTATGGCCAGCTGTTATTTATTACAGTTGTGAACTTTGATCAGTAACTTCTTTACTTTTAATTTAAAGTATTTTTGATATTTATACAAATGAAGCCATTTAAGCGACTATATAGCTCTCGATTGGACCAAATGAGAGGACAGAGTGTTTAGAACAACATATGGTATTTTACCGCATGCATCAATTATCAACAGCTCATAGAAAATGTAGAGTCTCCCTCTGTTCTGATAAAGAGTTGTCATAAATCATCTTTTTAAAATTCCACACATCCGTAGAAACTAGAGAGAGAGAATCGGGCCTCCAGAACGAATTGCCTGGCTTAAGTCACACTCACCATTAAAATGTTCCTTTGTGTTTCCATTTTGTGTGGGAGGAAATGCCGTATTTAAATTTTTTCTTGTCTTTCAAGTAGAGTCTATCAAAATGGTTTGTTTATCCAAGTGATATTGACTTTGATTCATCAAATTGATGTACATGAAAGGTTTTCTTTATCCTTTTATATTTAGTGGTTGCTATAGATCTAAAAAGCATTTTCAAATTAAGAAAGGAAAGCACAGCTTCAAGGATGATTACAGGCATTGAGCTGTGTTCTCTGTCGTGCGCGCTGCTTGTCAGCCACTCAGTCGTGCCGCTGGTTTGCCACGGAAAAGGCAGTGGTGTAAACTAACCCACTGAGGCGTCTCCGTGCACCTGAGAATCAGAGGAGTGCAAGTGGTAGCCTTGAACTACCCCAGAAAGGTGATCAGAGCATTGTTCACCGACAAAGATCAATTTGACCACACAGCTGGTATTGTGAAAAGGAAAAAACGTGTACAAGCTTTGCGTTAGAATTTTGGCAGAGCATTGGGGATTCAGATACAAATAGATTTTAAGTTTGCAAAGCTATTTATTGGGATATGACACTCAAAGTTCAGTTCTCACCCTCAGTTACCCCACAGAGGGCTTTAATCTTGGTCCATTTGCTCTTTGTTTCTTTTGGAGGATCGTTGAAAAATTGACTAACTTCGCAGTGATGTGGAAAATACCAAACTTAAGCCTATGTAAAAAATATTATGTGCACATGCTAGAAGGTTTAACAGTTCTTTTAAAATATTTAAAATAGATTACAAATAGTCTGTGAAGGATTTTTTTCTCATTTGGTCTTACAAATTTTATAGTTTATTTTCTATAACCCAACACCCATAGCTTAGAAAAATATTCGTAATCATATTATGTTTACTAGATTATTGTTATCACTTTGTTAAAAAAATACTTTTAATTTAGTTTTTTTTCAACCTAGAGCATATAAATCAAAAAGCCTTTATTGAATCAGAGTTCCAGCTTGCATCTTTGAACACATTTTTGGGTGGATACTGTTACTGTTCAGATCCTTTAACTCTGCACCTACGGTCTGAGTAGCAAAGGCTTTCATTCTCCCCTCCAATCAGCGATGTGAACAATGCTGGATTTTCTAAAACAATCTTGACTATACGTGCAGCAGATTTCATAGTAATATTAACAGTTCCCCTTTTTAGAGACTATTTTAAGCAATCCCACTATTCATGACCTTGGCATTCTTGCAGAAACTTCCGCAACACGAACGATGAAGTCTCACCAGGCCGTGTCACGGATCAGTCGTGAGGAACTGGAGGACAGATTTTTGCGTTTGCATGATGAGAACATTCTACTTAAACAGCATGCCCGCAAGCAAGAGGATAAAATTAAAAGGTTGTGATAAAAAGCTTTAAGTCTTTTTTCCTGACTCTGTAAAGTTTAGAGGATTTGCTTTTTTATCAACTTAATTGAAAACTCCACCTTGAATCCTTTTTGTAGCAAGGCAGGTTGTAAATAAATGCAATTTTTAAAAATGGAAATTCTTACAAACTAGAAGAGTAAACCAAAAAGGCTATGAGTGTTTATTACGCCTGAAGTTGTTATTTGAAAGGAAGAGCTAACAGTGCCTGAGTGTATTATATCTATAAATAACTTTGGTTATTTATAACCAAATATATGGTCTAATAAGCAAATGGCCAAAGCATCTGTTTTTTAAATGCCTTGATTTTAAAATGAAAGTTTAAAAAAGTAATTGTCTATTTGAATGTGTTAAAATGCCTATGTCCTTAAAATTTAGTGTTTTCTAATGAAAACATTACTTCGGTATCTGGAACAAACGTAACTTTGCTTGAGTTAGTGTAGATTCTGCATTTGTTTCCCAGTCTCAACTGCTTCTGAAGACATGGTGTCCCTTTTGATATGCACGCAAACGTTTCTGCAGAGAATATTTCTTAAGAACAGATACTCTTTCATTCTTTCTCGTTCAGAAACACTGCCTGCCTTCTGGGTGGGTAGCACTGCACACCAGTGTTTCCCGTGTGGAACGTGAGCAGGTCTGGATTCCTGTTGACGTTCCAGGTCCAATGACAAGGTCCAACAGCCAGGAAAGAAGATGGGGTGTTTTCCTGCTTAGAATTTGTTATAAAGGGGTGGTTCTGGTTCAGTTTCTACTCCGTGGACTTTGTTTTAATGCCCCACTGACCTGCTGTGTGCGGGGCTGTTACTTTGAGTTGGGTCTTTGAGTCATGATGATGTCTTTTTTCAAGACACGCGGCTCACTTGCCTGATTCCCCTTCTGACCAGTAACACACACACGTGAGCCTGTCAGAATGAGGACTTTGGTCTATCACCACGAAACGATTCTTCTTCTTTGTAAGCATAATGGGTCAGTAAAAGAATTGAATTCCCAACCTTGACCTCATTAGTAATTCGTCCTAGCCAGAAAATATAAAACAACAGAATAATGAGCCACATAGTTTAATGGAAAAAGGCCTGGGCAAGGAGTCAAGTCGAATGCATGTGTTCTGCTCATCTCCCTGCCTCTGGCGTATGGTGCGTTCTAGCCAGTAACCTCCTGGGATTTTGTTTTACTCGGACCTGAGAGTAATGATCTCATGACCGTTGTGACCAGAGCTCTGAGTTCCTTCCCACTGTCACACCACTGACACTGCCTAGACACCTAGGTAAAACCTTTACATGTATCCCTCAGGCGTGATTAGTGTCTCTTTAGCATAAACGTAGGTCTGACGAACCACCTTTTCAAGTAAGGACTCAAACTTTACCCGGTCACTTGTGGTTCATTAACATCATAAAATAAGCAAATGGAAATGACTATTCCTATTACCGGAGAAAGAGATGTCATCTTAGGCTTCTTGACAAAGTTTACTCGAGCATCTTGGAAGGAATTTAAAGCCAGTCCGTTGACAGGCCTTTCTTGCACGACTTTTTCATAGTAAGTCTGTCTTTTGTTTGTCTGCTCCGTTTATTTGGTTTTGCTTTGTGTCCTTCCTTTGAATGTTATCTCTGCCTCGGCCAGTCTCCCCATGACAGATACTTAGCCTGGCATCTCACTTAGACGGCTACCGTATTCCCAGGGATAAGCCACTGGCTGGGGCTCAGGGCCCTGAATTCCCTGAAGGGCTGTGAAGAGCGTGCGGCTCTTGGGGCTGTGATGCCTGCCCATGTTTCCCAATGATCTGTCATTCCCTGGACCAGGTGGAAAAGGAACTAATCCATTGATTATTTTACTGGGGTGTTTGTGGTACTCTTGGATCTTGGTTTTTATTATCCTGGACCCCTTATAAAGCATGTTTAATGGATGTGCCTCAAGGGAAAGAGCAAACAATCTCAACCGATTATGTTCTGCGTAGCTCTCCCCGGTGCCACATGCTGTCTGCCGAGAAGCCCAAAGTGTAGATAGACATGTATTACTACCGCTTTTACAGAGGACTCTGCTGAGGGCAAAAAGAGGTGGTTCTGTGACATCCCAAAGCTATTAAGGGTTTCTTTTTATTTCACTTTTGTTCTCCTAAGTAAAAGCTTCTGTCCATAACCATGCTAAAATAAAGCCAACCCCGCTTAAAGAAAAATGAAGTGAGTTTTTATTTTCAATCTCCTGTCTGGGTCTTCATAAAAATAGATTCACTATAAACTAGAGTCAGCGATTGAAGATGTGCGACCAATTTTGTAAAGTCTTGAACTTGTGTCTCTCATCAAAGCCACCTTTTCTTTCTTGTCCTGCCAAGATTTTTCCATTCACTGTCAGGCGTGTTTTCTGTGCGTGTATATTACATCACCCCCATGCGCCCTTTCTGTCTTTTGTTCTGTCGAACCAGTTTTTATCAGAACTTAAAAGAGTCAAAGGTATAAACTCCTGAGATGTCAAAAAGCACAATTTATATAGAAACCTAAAGGTAGCATTAAAATCATACTTTCTGCATCTAATTATTCTCTACCATTAAACATACATGTTTCTTGAGCACTAAGCAACAGTTAATGCCACATTTGGGTTCCTTTTGAATTTTTCATTGGGTTTTTTATATGTGTGTATCTATGCATTCTAACACTTTTGTATTTGTCATATGTCTTAATCCTAGAGAAACCGAAAACAATATATCACCTAAATGCTGCATAGTCTTAACACGCTTTGCAAAAGTTTTAACTTACTGTGGCTTGCAGATAGAACCCACCTCCTCCACAATCTGTAGCTACACTTAAGTGCATACAGCATTCCTACATAAGGTCATGCGTTAAAAATTGCATTGGAGGAACATATGGAGTAAATATGTGTCCTCTCTTTACCAACCTTAAATGATAAGCCTTAGGAAACTGTTATTTGTCAGTGCTGTAAAGCAGATTGCTGCCCCGTGGTTTCAATTATCATCAAAGGGTTCTTCACAGGCAGTAATAGTTACATCAAAACCTGAAATTTATTATTCAGGTTCTGCACTGAAGTCTTCACAGTGATTATGTTCCTTTCAACAGAATGCATTTTATGCTGACTTCTCACATTCCTTTTCATCTTTTTATTATTTCCCCAGAATGGCCACCAAGTTAATACGGCTAGTTAATGACAAGAAAAGATGCGAGCGGGTTGGTGGCGGCCCCAAGCGGCTGGGACGAGACGTGGAGATGGAAGAAATGATGGAGCAGCTGCAGGAGAAAGTGCATGAGCTGGAAAGACAAAACGAAGTCCTCAAAAACAGACTGATTTCAGCCAAGCAGCAACTTCAAATCCAGGGCCACAGGCAAACCCCGTACAATTACGTGCACTCCCGTGTAAACACCGGGCGTAGAAAAGCAAATGAAAGTACAGGCTCGCAGGACCGCCCCGGGAAAGGTAAAATAAGGCTTCTGTAGACCCCAACTGAAGTCTTTTAATAGGTCATTTTACACACGCACCGTTCTATTTCGGTATCATTCATGTTTGTAAGTTTCTTTAGGAAGAAAAATTGTTTTTGGACTTGGTTGTTGATAAAATCATTAATATTAACACGAAGACCATGTTCCTTAAGAATCACTAGATTCAAATTTGTTCGGTAAAACATTGAACATCACTATTCATTCTAACGCATATGAGACATGCGTGAAACTACATAAAATATGAGTTGCTTAGTTGAGTTGGCTTTTTTATATCACGGAAGCAAACCCTCTGGATGCAGGCAAATGGGGCGACCAGCTAGTTTGCGTACATGTGAACACACTTAAATTCTCCATCAAAAGGCCTTTCATAAAACTTGCAGAACAGTGTCAGTCTTTCTTGGTGTGTGGAGATGGCGTGAGAGCGGAATGCGCACAGACTTAGGGGTTTAAAAGTTGGGTTCTTGCTGTTCCACTTATTATCCAGGGCCTTTGGACACATCTTCTAATCATTCTGAACTTGAGTGGTCTTTACACGTAAAATAAAAGCACTCAATCAAGTGATCATAAGGGTCTCTTCCATCTCGAAAAATTATCATAGGCCAGTCACTTTCTTGATTTTGAAAATGAATCCCTTAAAACTTACCCAGGTTATAAAACAATTCCATTGCATAGACAAGACATTATAGAATGACCCAAATATTTCCAAAAAAGTTCCAGTGCTCTCCACCCACAGGCAAACTGCATTTATAATGAAGCAAGAAAAAAAAAACAGGAAATATCTTAGGTAACACATTCTTTATTTCAACTACTAGGAAAGGAAATAAAATTTTAGCTCTAACTGATCTTTATTTGGAATATGCTTCACATAAAGACCAAACATTTTTAGGGACATAAAAAATATTGTAAACTTTCATTTTGATTCATTGAGAAAGAAAAAAACAGCTTAGGAACAGAAAGGAGATACATTTGTTCTATTTTTTCTTGAAGCCAAAATGTTAACACTTTCCTCCCTAGACAGCGCCCCTTTGAAGTCGGGAAGGGCCTCCGCACACAGGCAGGAGGCAACCACAGCACGAGGGAGCTGGGCTGCCCTCACCACGTGACACTGGCAGGGGCTGGAGGTCACCGGAGGAGCTACGGTGAATCATGAAGCAGAAAATGCATTCTGCCCCGGACTGACCTGTTACATGGAAGAGAGCACTTGACCTCGGAGGGCCCCATTTTCCGCTCTGTGCAATGGAGCTGTAACGCCAGACTAGACGAAAGGTTAGGGGACGGTAGCTGCGCAAGAATGGATCACCTTTAAAAAGTCCCTTAGCCTCTGTGCCCCGCTTCTGTCCTCTGTGACTGCACTCGGGCAAGCTGAGCTCTGAAGGCTGCAGGTCTTTCAGACTAACACAAAGCCCAAATTTTAGATCCTGCCAACTTAATCTAGTGCCATGAATTGCTATTTAAATTGAAGAACTCGATGGGAGTTTTTCCCTGTCGGAGAAAAAAAGAGCCCCAGAGCAGCAGTCTTTAAAATATGGTTATGTAGCTTGAATTTCTCCTTGTGTTTACACTCGGTAATTCAGACCTTTTTCACTGTTTGGTACAGAGTCCAAGACAGGAGCTGCACAAAGCATTCAATCATGATGAGAACTTTCTTAACCAGTCTCTTTCTCAGTAAACTGGAAGCATCATGACCAAGGTTGTTACCATAGTAACCCTATTAGAATCTTTAAGACCACCTTTGAGGCTGGGATTAGGCCAGGCTTGTCAGAAACAGTGCAGCCTGGGGCGGCCGGGTGAGAAGCCCAGACCCTGTCTGGCCGCATCAGCCCACCCCCCAAGCTGTTGTACAAATACTATCATTTTCTACTTATGCCTTGTCAGGACAAGGGACAAAAGTTCTGGCTCAAGGTGTGATCATTGCAATGGAGAAACAGTTCTTGTGGTGAAGAGCGAAGATTTTTATGAAGTGTATGTGTTTTAAAAGATAACCATTGACAACTCACAGCGAGACTGTAGTTTTAAGATATAGTTTGAACTCAAATAGGTTTTTTAAATTCCACTAGTGTTGTTCAGTTTTTCCATGATTTATGTAGGAAGTGCTTCAGAATTAGCATTACTGCCAAGGGACAGTAACTGGCGCCTTTTACAGTGAACTGTTGGAACATTTCAGGCAGAAACGTTTAGATATTAGCAAAAGATGGGGAGCACTTTGAAAACAGCCCATAATAGTGCCACTATTCTAACTAAAACTGTTGTTCTTAAAAAGGAAACATTTCTAAGGAGACAGAATTTCTTCTGTACCTTTATATCTGGGACTATGTACCATTAAAAACTAAATTGTCATAATTTACCTTAAACTCTAATAATTCTGTGTAATATCCACTTTAAACTCTAATAATTGACTTATTCTCTAAAGGTAAAACTAATTCATATAATTAAAAGTATGTCTCATTTTTATCAGTGGGACCAGGCTTACAGAATTGCACGTAACTATTTTTATAAGAAAAGTTGTATTTTAAGTGCAGCAGCAAACTGTTCTATTTAAAGGAATCCTATTGATGATCTGTCCTCAAATTACATATGAATTTGATTACTGAGGTGGAATAAACCAAAGTATAGGTAACACTTATCAAAAATACTTCAAAAAATCAAGTTTTTGAAACTTTTTTTTTCCTACTTCAGTTTATATTGTAAAGACCTGATTTGAAGACTTTGGTCCGTTCAGACATTGTGTCAGGAGGTTGAACTCTGAATGGGATCAGATCAGCTCTAGGTAACGTCCCTTCCATGGAGGAATCGGTCAAATGGGCTACACACGTGCCGCTGTGTCGATTTCCTGCCGGCCAGGGGCCCAGACCTCACAGGCCCTTTGGCAGGGCGTCTCTGGGGCTCCGTACCACAGGGCGCGGCTCTGAGCCCCTGAGAAACCTCACTGCCTCACATGTTTCCTCACGATGCTGAATCAAACAAGGGTCCTCTTTTCTGACGTCTGTAATCTTACTGATTTGTTTTTAGGTATTAGATTCCAAGACGTAGATGAAGATCAACCCATGCTTACAAAATACGGCAACAGTTTACTGGAAGAAGCCAGAGGAGAAATAAGACATTTGTATGTATTTTTTTGTGGTCGCTTTGGAACTTTGTGTACTGATCATGTTTTATTTTGTTTTCTTTCCTCTCTTTTATTTTAAACAAAATTGGTTTGTAATTTGCTCCACCAAATTACAGCTGTATCTGCGGGATAAGAACATATTATTAAACATGTTTCTATTAAAATGAGGCAAATGAACAGTTTAACCAACTGCATCAATGGAAGTGCTTGTAGAAAGGTCCTTTATTTTAATTTTCCCCTGCAAAGAAATGGTATAAAGTCCACTCATTTAGAAGAGTATGAACTTTAGAGGCAACATTTTTCATTCTCAGAAAAATTACAGGTAATTTTTCTTTAATCCTGAATTAATTAGCCTTTTTGTGGTTAAAATATTTGGAAGGCGTGGCTTAAAAGTTTGGAGTTATCAAATACATATGGATTTCAGATTTTGTTTCACTGGGATTCTACAGTACTGCATTCTTCATCGGAGTACGGTTCCGAAACCGTTACTTCTGCCACGTTTAGCTTACTTTCCAGTTAATCAAAGCCTCATGGTTTCAGTGTCTACAAGTCGCATAAATGAAGATAAGGTTCCGCCTCATCTACAGGCCTTCCCCTGGAGGAGCATCAGAAAGGACCAGTTCTGAATGAGGAACGAGTATCATACTTTAGGTAGTTGCTTAAGGGATGTATGGGCTTTTGTTTTCCTTTCGAATACTGTAAATACCAGATACAGTGATGATTATACCGTGAGAGAAAAAAACCAAAAGACTACACCTAATCTCGTTACCCTGTTCATTAGCTGAAAAGCCAGGGCCACGCCCCCGTTTCCTGAGACTCATTACCCTGGGGTGCTGCCAGACAAGGCAGAAATAAGCACATGCTAGAGACCATGCAATGGTGTCTTGAGGTTTCCTGGCCTCTCTCTCTGCAGTGTTAATGTGGGTAGTATAGGGAGACCTGCCTGTGAAAGAACAAAGGCATAGAAATCAGGTGAAGGAGGACAGATGAGGAGCACATAGTAGGTGAACAGTAAATGCTTAATGAACTGAATCTGCCCACCAATCCCTTCCTTGCCTGGGACATTACCTTGTCAGACAGACAGCTGGAACTGCGCCCTGTGTGCCGCCTTCACCTTTGAACTGCTGCTATTTTCCTCTGCGCAGAGGCACTTAAGCTAAAATTTTGAACTTCTGCTTTCTCCTTATTTTGAAGAACTTTCTCTGTACTGATCTTGAATACTGCAGGTATTTCTGCAAATGACATACTCATGCGAAGCTTCTTTATTTCAGAGAAGATGTTGTTCAGTCCCAGAGAGGCCAGATAGAAGAGTTAGAGCAGCTGGTTGAGATCCTGAAAACCCAGTTACGGAGAAAAGAAAATGAAATTGAGTTGTCTCTGCTTCAGCTTCGAGAGCAGCAGGCTACAGATCAAAGGTGCGTTAAAACCGAAATCTCACTTTGATAAGGTCAAAATTCGTTTAAAGTACTTCATCGTGCATCACAGAAGGATGAGTCTGGTCTATTTTAAAATCATGTTTTCACTTCTCATTCTCCTATGAGCCGCTCTACACCCACTAACCACCATCGCCTCTGGCCCGAGGGCGGTTCCCTGTTCTGCTCTGCCGCCCCTCAGTGACAGCATGCACTTGTCCCGTTTACTGGGACTGCAGGAGAGTCTCACACCGTGCGATTACTCCCTCGAGGAGAACTCTGTGTGACGCGGACCCAGCCACTGGCTGCACACCTGGTGAATAAGTCCAGCCTCGAGGTTTCTCAACCTTAAAAGGCAGTAAATTCCTCACAATGGTACCAGTTATTTTCTATCCCCCAAAGGTGTTGCCTCTCCCAGGATTCAAAGTTTGCGTCATACTCTCCTGATGGTCACGGAGGGTGGGGGCCCGCAGCAGCGTCCCGGCGGCCTCTCCAGTTTTGACGGTCGTAACGTGCAGCACCTTCTGTGCCGTCCCCTTGGTCTGTTGTTGTTGTTCCTCATAACTGTTCTCATTGTGCTTTCACACTGTTCCCAGGAAGACTGTGGGTTCTTCCTGGATATTTTCTTCCCTTTACGGCCTTTCTCTTTCTGTCACTTTTCTTTTTTCTTTATGTTGGGGTTTTTTTCGGCCAAGTGTACCCAAAGGTAAAGAGAATATGTGTTGAGCCCCCATGTTCCCATCACTCAGGTTCAACAGTTATCAGCGTGTTCCCAATCTTGTTTCATCCGTCCCTTCACCTCTGTCTTCAGCGAATTGGCCCCAGCCAGATGCCCCGTCATCTCGCCTGTAAATGCTTCAGTGTCCACCTCTGTCTGACACGGGATCTTCTTTTCACATGACCACCGCACCGTTGTCACACTGAACAAACACAGCAGCTCCTTGACCTTGGCCGATGGCCAGTCTGTGGTCAGACTTCCCTGCAGGTATCTTTCTGCCGATGGGATTGGAGTCCGTGCAGGGCCTGCGCTTTGCACGTGCTGCACCTACTTTATTTCTCTCTCAGTTTTTTTTTAAACCAGACCCAGACCCTCCATTTTCCCCTTTCCCAGCCGATGTGGTAGCTCATGTGGCTGGGATCTCAGAGAGACCGGGGATGGCTTCCTGGTTGTTCAGGCTCAGAGGTTCATTCTCCTTTAACAAACCAGCCCCACGTGGTAAGACCTCAGCAGCTAAGAAGTGATACTGAATGTGAGACTCATTTTTAAAAAGCAAAGCAGGGTTAAAAATATATGCAAAACTATATTTCAGAGTTTTAAAACACAAGCACTGACTAATGATCTCTGTTTCTGAAAATTTATATGTAAATTTAAATTATATGATGAAATTCTATATATTTAGGGACATTTATATATGCATATAAGTGCATGGCAAAGAATGAATTTTTTTTTTTGAGAATTACATATAGAGTAGGGGATATAATTTGATCCTTGGCTTTGAACCAGCTTGGAAACCAAGGAGTGACTGGTGTTCCCCTAAGAAAAACTGATCTAGACTCAGCCTTCTTGGAGAGTCAGTCCGCACATTTCCTTGTGAAGAACGGTGCTGAAGGACTGCACCCCAACACCAAGTGTGGCGATCTCAGTAAGTTGCCCACTGCCATATATAAGGTGTCATCTGAATGTAAAAATTCTGCACTGAGGCCAAGTTCAGGCTTGGAGCCCCCTCCTGTCAGCCGCGCTTTCTCTGTCGTATTTCTTCCCAAAGAGCAGCACAGACATGGTGCTGGCTGGTCCCCCTTCCAGAGGGAGAGGGTCGTCTGGGAGCTGGGATGGCCGGAGGGAACCGAGAGGGGCTCCTGAAGCCCTCAGTCCTGGGACTGGGTCCGCACCAGAAACAGGCTGATGGGCAGGTGTACGTTTTCTAGACAAAGTGTTGTCAGCAGGAGACAGCGACACACACACACACACACACACACACACGGAGGGGCTCACCTTAAAAACTGAGCTACCGCCCTCTTCAGGGAATCTCTCTGATTCACATCATAGCAGCCTGTTGTTTTTTGTCACATCAAAAACTAAAAGACAAAATAAGAATTACAGACGAAGGCACTATTGTTTGTTGAGGCCAAAGAAATAAACCAATTTGTACCCTACCTCACTGATTTTATAAAATTGAAAATTACATGTTACTTCATTAGAAGGAAGGGTACCTGAAGTGAATGGCAGACTGTTTCTTGAACTACAGTTGTTGAAACCTGAAGCAGTGACTTCAAATCAGAGGCTTCGAGTCCATTTTTTCTTATATGTTTACACATAGCTCAAAGTTTTATGTATAACAGCAAGCTTGTTTTTTCTTTTGAGACTAATGGAAAACTGTTGAAAAAATGTTGGGGAGAATATAAAACTTGGTCTAATTTACTGTAGAGAAAAATTACAAAATGGAAAACATATTTGAGCTTGTCTTTCACGGATACATTATTTCAGATTTGAAATTCTAGAAGTCTGATCTGAATGTTGGACTCCTTGTTCTCAAACATGAACCCAGCATAGCTGTAATCTTCAGAGTGCAGCGCTGGGTATTTATGGCAAAGGGCCTTTTCATAGAATATTATAGCGACTCTTCGTAGTATGTGTTTAATAGACCAGTTTGGTTTGGCATCAGCCTGACATAAACTTTTAGTTATCCAAAGCCCTTAATTGCTTTGAAGTAAAAGCCCAGTGCTGCTCCTTTTTATTAAAATCGTGTTTTTCCTTGTTATTGTGGGTCTATTTTGGAAGACTGAGCTGTGATTTTTGCATATGTTCTACATAATGCCTCATTAGCAAAAAATCTTGTATCATTTACAAGTAGCCTGAATGTCTGTGCTGTTTTGAACAAAAGTCCACATTAAAATTTAAACAATATAAAAATGCACATTTTCTGCTTATTAAAAAGGCCGTCTTAAATTAAATGCACAGCAGTAACCAGTGAACACATGTACATGAACATTAAAATCAGAATGATTTTACCTTTTATTGACTTTTTCAACTCCAAAAATATTTATACTCTTACCAAATGTGTAACTAGTTTGTACTGTGTTTCTTTTTTAAGTACATGTTAGGGTGTTTATCTTCTTAATTAAAAATCATGTAGCTGCCATAAGGTCCCAGTGGAGGAAATTTAACCCATGAGTGTTTCAAACATTTATTTCACTTACCGCGTCCCCTTCGGTTAAGGGCAAAGGATCGAACCCTGAAGCAGGCCCTTCGCAGCCATGCAGCGTAGGACGGGGCTCGGCTCTAGGGCTCCAGTTTCCTGTCCGTGCAAGGGCACAGGGTTACTTCCTGGCGCTCCTGAGTTCTTCACCAAGGTTTCATTTTGAAAAACTGCAAACCTGCAGAAAAGGTGTGCACACAGCAGTGAGAACACTCACCTGCCTCTCGCCCCTCTGCCCTTCTGTGAAGGACAGGAGGCCGTTCTGCATTGCGCATGCGCGAGCAGAAGCCCTTCTCCTTTCCTCTCCTTCTCTCCCCTCCCCCACCCCCTCCTGTCTGAGAGTGGAGTGCCCGGACCACTTTGCCCTCTGTGCACTTCTGAGCATCTTCTAGGAGCAGGGACATCCTCCTGCATCACTACAGTGCAGCCATCCCACTCAGGGCATTTCACAGGGAGCGATGGAGTGGCGTTGCCTGACAAGCAGTCCATGTTCACACCTCCCAGGTGTCCCAATAATGCCCTTCAGAGCTGTTTTGTTTAAATAGCTGTTACGGTTTTGCTTTGATCCAGTGTCCAATCAAGGCTCATGTGATGTGTTTTAATTGTCACGTCTTTTAGGTTCCTTTTATTCTAGAGTGGTTCTCCAGTCTTTTGCAGCCAATTGATAGCTGTTTGCAGAACGTTCCTCAATTTGCATTCGTCTGATTGCCCCGCCCCCTAATTTAGAGGGCACATCTGGTTCTCCCATGGAAAGGTAACTGGGGCCAGGGGCAACCGTGCAGTCGTTACTATTACACAGGGAGGTGATCTGTCATTTTTTTACAAATATATTCACCAAGCTCTTACTGTTGTTTCGAACACCTTAGAATTTGTCCAATGAAAACTATCACTCACATTCCATTTTTATCCCTGTTCTTTTTATTATTGGTATTATGTCAGAATTTTTGTGTGATAGCAGCTTGACGTATTTTCTCAGCACTTTATACAAACCACAGAAATTGTCACAATTAACAGTGACTCACCTGTTAGCACACACCTGTGAGTGGAGGGGAACATCTCAGAGGAAGGATGCGACTTAGAGGAGCGGGAGAATTTCTCTCTGCGGACCGGACTGGAGCGCTGGCTCCTTGCTGGAGGGCTGTGGCCAAGTTCACTACTTTTCTTAGCCTCGGGTGGCCCCTCGACTGTACGACATGAGGATAGAAATGGCTAAGTGGTTCCCTGCCTTTCAAACAACAGCCACTTGTGTTCCTAGGGACCTTGTGTTTCTGACACATTTTTTTCCTACGAAATAAGCAGTGTTAATTAATTTTTTTTAAAGACTATATCGTACCAACTATTGCTTCTGATAATTGTGACATAACCTGTGCTATTACTGAGTAGGTATAATTCCATCAAGAGACAAACACAATACTTTAGCTCATTTTTGCCACGAATTGCCAATAAATCTACATTTCCCACTGGAACTTTTTAATATATCGAACATAATTCTCAGATTCCTATTACTCGTCGTAATCCCTGAAACCCGAGCCTCAAAAGGGCCCCCTGTATAAGACGAGTCAGGGCTTGGCTTCTTGCTGTCCCCCCCCGGCCCGGGGAGGGCGCCCTCTGCTGTCGGGAGAGTGTGAGAGGTCCGCCCACTGCCCCTGCATGTTTTGTGGGTGTTGAGAGAGAGAAAATACCAAGTTCTGATCTATATTTTGACCCAACACCACAAGAAAGATATCACCCAGAGGCAGCTAAATAGGTACCGACAAACGTTTTCCTCTGTGCAGTCTTGGACCAGGGAGCATTATGTTGCCTGGG